CAGCAGGAAGAGCCAAAAAAGTAACATATTTTAAAATGTATATCTGTGAGAGCCATACATTTTTTTAAAATCTGAATACAACTGAATGTATGGATTTTTAAACCATACCAATAATTTTATAAGTATAATACGTTTCTGAACTATTAGAAAAGTTATTAAAATTATTTTTTTAAAAATTAATAATGAGGGAGCACATGCAGATAGCTGGAGTCAGAGTAAAAGATACAGAGAACAGGGCAATATGGAAATTAGTGATTCGCTGTGGCAACCCCTGAAAAAAGTGACAAAGCCAAAAGGAAAAGAAGAAGAAGAACGTTGTTATACTAGCCATACATAAAATACTTATTAATATGACTTCTGGTGCTGCATGGTTTTGATGCGACTTTGCTCCTGGGCAAAAAACTTAATGTATGGATTAAAATGTGTAACAGAGTTATAAATATATGGTTCCATTTGCCATACAACAGAGTTTATATATAAAATAAAAAAAAAATTATCCTACGGTCATTAAATGCCCCTGCTGATTAGAGTCGTGAACCCCGGGGAGCAACAGTCTGGCTCTGCTGTCCTTATGGTAGGTGCACATTGGTGATGCGAAGACCGACTCTTTTTACTGATTCAGATCTTTGACTCTCGAACAGTAAAATGAACCGAGTCGTGAACGGATTTTGACCCGAGCTCTCTGTCCCGTGACTAATGACACAAATTCGCGAGAACGAAGCGAAAGGCTGTCTTTGTGAACGAATCACATAGAGTGATTCGTTCATAGTAACAGATTAGTTCACAGTGTAAGATTAGTCCACAGTGAAAGATTAGTTCACAGAGAGTGATTCGTTCATAGTGAAAGATTTGTTCACAGAGAGTGCTTCGTTTATAGTGAAATATTAGTTCACAGTGAAAGATTAGTTCACAGTAATGATGGGAAGACCGACTCTTTTTATTGATTTGAATTTGAGTCTCGACCAGTAAAATGTTTTACAGCAGGTTGCGCTTTAGCCCTATTGTGGGCGTTGTAAAGAAGGTTGTGGTTCTCCGACACTAAATACTCAAGGCAACATGGTTTGCTCCGCTGACAGATTCGTTCGCGGGGAAAGATTAGTTCACAGCGAAAGATTAGTTCACAGAGAATGATTCGTTCACAGCGAAAGATTAGTTCACAGCGAAA